TGAGAGTTAACATTTGAATGTTTTGGGGTCTTTTCCGTGTGAAAAACGCCCTCTGGAGCCCAAACGGTCAGAGATAGAGCCAAACGGACAAAATTTTGGCCCAAAGGGTTCTATTTTGACGAGTTACCTCTAAGACAGATGTAAAAAAATGATTTTTTTGACACGTTAATTTTTGAGCCAGAGGGCTCAAAATCAATACAGTTCTTCCTTTTTATGATACAAAGCTACAATAAAAATTAGAGTCTCCTAGCTCAAACCGTTTTCGAGTTATCGTGCGTACAGACAGACAGACAGACAGACGCGAAACTTTTTGATCATCACTGGAGTAATAGGCTTCGCTAATCGCTCAGCCAATTACTGACATGAAATTTCGACAACATTAGACTAGGTACATGTACGCCAGACCACGTCTCGCGTAACAGGCTTCGCGATATCTCACGAAACACTGTTAGGCTGCGACGCGCCTGGCATACATCTACCTAGGCCTGCGGCGCTGACACCCGAGTCGGGCAAAAGGCAGAGTCGTAGATAAGCCTTTGGCTCCAAAGGACACATATTTTACCCCCAGGATTTTATTTTGACGAGTTGCCCCACCACAGACCATCAAATATCTGCGAAACAACATTTGGGGTCATTTTCGTGTAGAAATCGCCCTCTTGCGTCTAAACGGTTAGTAATAGAGCCATAGAGTCTCCTAGCTCAAACCGTTTTCGAGTTATCGTGCGTACAGACAGACAAACAGACAGACGCGAAACTTTTTGATCATCACTGGAGTATTAGGCTTCGCTATCGCTCAGCCAATAAGCAATGAGAAGGTATTACCAGAAGGCTGAAACTCCCCAGCTGGTACATGTTGCTTATTAGTTTTCTTTTGAAGAGTTGGAACTGGGGGCAGTTGATGCACCTTAAAAGCAAAAAATAAAAACAATTTCAAATTTAGTATAAAACTACAAAGAGACAGTGTCTCAAGAAGTAAGAATAATCTAGAGATAAATGAAATATGAATTCAGAACTTGAAACAGTACTAAAATTAATAACCAATGAAAACAAAGTTGTAGAAAGTTTATTATTCAACTACTACTAACCTTCTGCGTGAGGAATGTCGTTGCCATTCTGATCTATCATGCCATCTTTTCCATTTATTGGGGCAGACAAGTTTTCCACATTGTTTACGTTGCCCTCCTCATTACCACTCTCCTCATTAAACACTTCATCATAGATAACTTCTTCACCATTCCTGCCCTCATAATAAATTTCTTCACCACACTTGCCCTTGTCATGTTCCTGGCCAGACTCGCTGCCTTCTCCATTACCAGCATCTAAGTCTGTGGTCAGGTTACGAGGGGTAATTGGGCTGAACCGCCTGAGAGAATGTCTCGGGGTGAAAGAAGTGCTAGTCTTCTCTCTTGACCGGTGAAGCTTCAAGAGTTGTCTCAAAATGTTCATCGACAGATGAGTCAAATTCTTCAACTACTTTATTCTTGGATTTGTTCTTGCTTGGAGTCATTTTCTGCTCATGATTATTCCTCTTCTGCTGCTTCTTTAGGAGGGGACTTCATATTTCTCATGCGATTCATTGTCTCAAGAATTTTGCCATGCTTCTCAGGTTTGAGTTGGAGAGGGACTGGAGGTGGGCTAGGTGCTCCAGAACTCTTCTTAACCATCTTACTTGGAAGGGCATTTTCAGGTTCCGAATCAGAACTGCACAAAGCTGTTGGTCTTCTTTTGGTGCGTTTGCCCCGGCTAAGGTCTACCGCTGTCTCGTATGCACTGTTTGCCTCATACCCCTTAAGTGCAGAACGGGCTCTTTGAAGTTCATCTGGTAGAAGAAATAAAATCAGATTTAAAAAAATACTGTATAAGGTATAAACATTTGATCGCATATTATTAAGATCCATTGAAATGTAGTTATTGATTCAAACAAACTTGATTGAGTACAGTTATTCTTTTGAGTCAAAAAACTTAAAAATAAAAAACCACAGTACATGATATCCTATTTTATTTTATTTTTAAAAAATAACATACCAGAGAAGCGTTTGATGACAACATCATACTCGATCCAATCACCTGGATCTTTAGAGTTCTTAATGGCAGCAGCATGGCGATGGCTTGGTGGCCACCAAATTTTTGCTTATCCATAATCCGATTGTTGTGATATCCATTTTGAGAGGCCAACTTCAAAGGAAAAAGTCGTCATTTTGTCTGAAATACTGAAATCATTGGACCATTGCGACAGAGTCTTCACTGTGAAGAAAAGCAGGTAGGTTAAACCTACCTTAAACCTAACTTACAGGAAAATTTTCCTTGACGCAAGTTGTAAAATTTCAATTTGTAACCGTAAAAATACATGCAGCATGTATCGACTTCAAATCCCTTAGCGAGTAAAAATTGTGCTGTTGTAAATTTACTACTGAAATTATAATTCAAGTTTACAATTTTTTTGTAAATTTACGACGATCCCAGCTTTAAATTCCATATGGAATTCCTGTTAATTTCCAGATGGATCTGGTTTATGGAATCTCGTTTCCACAATGGAATTTGGTATGGAAATTTTTCCGGTATGGATTTGTGGAAATCCACTATGGAACTTGATCTGGAATATTTTCCACTGTGGATTTGTGATTTTCCACTATGGATTACTGATTTTCCATTATGGAATATTTTCCATTATGGAATATTTTCCATTATGGTCGGCTGCATTTTTTCCACTATGGATTTGCAAATTAAATCATAACTATTTAACTAAGTGTAACACAGAAATTCTGACTGAAGCACTGCGAATAATACGTCGAAATGTTCACTCTTTGATAGAAAAGTAAAAATTCTAACGCTAACGCGTTAATCGGCCCCTGAAGTTTTAACGAACAATCGTATGCACACGAAGAAATAATCATTTCATTAATCACTTCAATAGATTCAGCGTTGAAAATTAGAAAAGAGGGAAGTCGTCAAAACTTGTTG